TTCTTTTTGCTTGCAGCTATGCCTTGGTGTTTGAGTGTGTACCTGTCTCATGAACAATTCGTAGTATGGATATGGGACGTTTTCTGCCTTTGCTCATTATGGTGTCAATCTTCCACCATCACTTTTTGCGATCTCCTGGTTGTAATGCAGAACTTTTTGACTGTTGTTCATTATTACACAAATCAGGACGCAGCGTGTTGTGACCTTGTCGCATGAGCCTCGCAATAGAAGCATAACACACCCACAAGGATTTTTCCCTTCCTGCTTGCAACGGGGTCTGAATCCCTGTTGCCACGCTGTTGTCTCCCTAGTGTACCCATCAACATCTCTGTGTTTGCATTTACAATCTTGAGGAATTGTTGTATGATGGCTTGATACATCCCCCAAAGGTGTTCTCGGCCCCTCGCCCATGTGCTGTTCTAGGGTCATGGTATGCATTTCCCTCACCTTGTGTATGTCTGTCCTTGTGACAGGTACCTTCCTTCTCGGACAATGGGTGGTACACTGACCTTGTGGTTGGAGACTCGAAGTGGCTCGACCTGTTTCCAGCGCCTGCCCGTCCCACCCAGGCTCTCATCTCTCTTGCTTCCCCTAGGATCCTAGAATTCGTCAGATTGTATTCTGTGGATGTCTCTCCCCCGTTGATTACCATCCTATCCTTTGATCAGTGGTCGGATCTGTTGTGGACGGCGGCAAATGATAAGCCTGCGTTCCTCAAGCTCGCCGAGTACTTGGTCACCAGGGTGAAGGATATCGCTGGTGAGGATGAGTTGGTCTCGATTTGTGTTGATGGTGATTTGGGGCTATGAAGGAAAAAGTGTTCATCAACCTGTTCGGTGCAGAGTCCAATTTTCATGCGGGTCTGATCCAGAGAGATCCCGCGGTAGCTGGGGATGGTGAGGGCTCCGGTGAGGAGGAGGAGGAGGATGATTCGCTTGCCTTGACGAAGGAGGAAAAAGCGTACCATTCTAAACTGCTAGAGGAGGGAAGGTTGGATAAGGTGAAGGCGATCACAGATAACCAGAAGACCGGCGTCAACAAGTATGTACGCAACGCCTTTCTCCTTACGGTTTCGTCAAGATGGGTAGAGTCCCAGTCTAGGTCTGTTGATGACAAGCTTTGGGATCTATAGCTCCAATTCACGCTGACTCGTATAGGTTTCTAGCGTCTCTCACGGGGGAGGAGATGAAAAAGTGCAGGGAGAAGGCCCTTACGGAGAATACCGAGTTGATTAAGGGAAATTACTCGCTCACCCCGGATGCAATGAAACTCCCAGTCATTGGGGATTTTGACCGTACTAAGTGTGGTGTATCTGCGTCGGCACTTGCTGTGAGGGGTTTTCTGGGGCCGAAGGTGCAGACTGCGATGGCGGAATTGAAGCGCATCTGGAATGTTCGTCGCCCTTACCTGAAGTGCCAATGCGTGGCGGAGGGAAAGGGGGAGTGTGCTAAGAATATATCGTGGTTCGATCATGTTTTTGGTACCTCCTCTCTTATCTTTACTACCTATTTCCGGAAGCACCGTCCCTCAGGGCTCGCGCTCGCGCTTTTAGGGTCAGGGCGAGATCTTTGTGGCGGGCTGCTGTCCTGTCCATGGTGGTGTTCACGCACATGAGAGAGGTGATGGTGAAAATGGCATTCAGTGTCACTATGGATCCATCCAGGACTGCACAGAACATTATTGATGATCCGGCCATCATGCTCCACAAGTTTCCCCGGACCATGGCTAAGCTCATCCTTCCTGCTCGCTACGTCCGCACAACTCAGAAGAGGAGTTTGGAAGCCGCCCCTGCATCAGTGGCCAAAAAATCGAAGACGGCACAACAGTCCATCTTGGAGTTCTATGTCCCCCCTTCTCGTGGGGGGCCTTCCGCTTCTTCTCAGAATCAGCCTGAGCCATCTGCTGCTAGCACTCCCCCGTCCTCCATCATCACTGTCCAGGAGGAGGGGCAGGCGTCTGCCTGCAGCAGACCTTTGCAAAGGAGTCCGAGGGGTCTGGACTTAGCCAGGGCATCATTGTTTAGGAACTGACTGATGTGGGTGGTTTCTCTCGTTTCGTTTTGCAGGATGATGAAGAGCCTGGGGGATTCATGTCTCGTGATCCCTCTGGCCGGTGCAAATGGCAGAAAACCCCGGTGGAGGGGAAGGAGTTTTTTGTGCATGTCTTATACACGAGCAGGATTATGGAGTCAGTTTGTTTCAGATCTATCCTTGAGATGGCAATTGATCAGTTCTTTTCCCCGGATGCCAGAGCATTGTTGTCTCGAATTGTCATTGGTTGGACTTATTTAAGCTCTCTTGAAGCGGTCCTCTACAAGCCTGCCTCTGTGTTTCGGGATTTTACGCTTGATGATTGGCGCCGGTCATGTGAAAGCTTGTCTTCCTGCCCATGCTTCACAAAGCGTTTTCTGCCCTTCCACCACCCCTGCACTATCAACATGACTCAACCTTTCCCCTCTCCCTCCACTCATATCCTCTCCCTTGATCCAGACATTTTTGCGCTTCCTAAACTGGCGGAGCTCATGTCACATGGCCTTAATCACATTCCTCCTCGCCCTGCCAATCCCCATGCAGCATTTCATGAGTTTTTCAAAGCCTGGCGTGCCGTTGTCTCCTTCCTCGCTAATCGAATGCTCATTACTAGCGCAATGCAGTCAAGGGCGTCCATGTTCGTTTCGGAGGAGCTTAGGGCACAACTTGGCTTTTCACATCTTAGGAAGCACCAAGACTCCTCGTGCATCATCGAGACTCATGCGGTTAAGCATGAGATTGACTTTTTGTCCAAACGTCTGTTCATTGCAGGGACTGACAAGGCAGCTAACACTCTGTCGTTTGTGTGTATTCATCTTGTGAGAAAATTGGCGTTGGAGAGGCTCAATAGTGTTGATTTTGTGCCGGTTTCCCTCACAGCAGGAGAAATCTTGGATGATGCTGCATCTTCCCTCAGCAGGATCATCCCTAATGTTCCCATGGGACCTAGGAAACTTCCTTACCTCATGGCCTTATACAAGCACCATAAGCTTGCGTTTCGTTGGCTCACAAATGCTTCCTTTTCTTTCCTTACCCCCGTAGCTTGTCTGTGTGATGCGGTCTTGAAGTGCCTCACCCCTCTCGTTATGGCCCGATGCAAGGAGATCACCGATGGCTTGCGGAGTTTTCATGGTATTGATACATCTATTTGGTGGGCTATTGAGTCGGTCCAAGATTATTGCTTTAATCTCCCGGACAAAGTCTTCTCTGTGTTTTCTGCGGACATTACGAGATGTTTTGAAACGATTCCTATTGATGCATCCCCTGATAGCCTGACGGCTGCTGTGACCTTTTTTGTGGATATTGCTTTCAAAACCGCTTCTTCCAAATGCCTTGGGATGTTTGTGAAGTGCAGGGCGCGCTGGGATGGTTCCTTTGCCTGCTCCGTGGTCAAAACAAGGGGGGACACTCCCTCCTCCACGGTGTTTTGGTTAGATCCTGGAGAAGTCATTGCACTTACCAATTGGTTAGTTGCCCATTGCTTTACTACCTTTGGTAAGCAATTTTGGAGGCAGACTTCGGGAATCCCCATGGGTTTGCCATGCTCCCCCATTTGGTGCACTGTGTATTTTTTCAAGTACGAGTATGGCTTGATTATGAGGCTTATAGACAGGAAAGTTGCACATTTCCTTCCGTTGTTCAAGCACATGTCCAGGTACATTGATGATCTCCACGCCATCAATAACCCCTTCATCTTGAAGTTCCTGCAGGACCCTCCTGAAGATGATGATGGCATCTTTGCCTTATACCCGCTCCACCTCATCCAGATCAAAAATCAGACTGAGGTCTTTGAGCTATCCCCCTCTGGGAAAATTTATGGTCTAAAGGCTCAGTTTCTGAATGTGTCAATCGTGGTGACTTCTGATTCTGCCGGAACGTTTTACACCACGAAGTTTGACAAACGCTTGGCGTTGGATTTCCCGGTGGTGAGGTGTGTGAAATACGCATCGAATAGGCATATCCAGCAATCACTGAACATCATTCTTGCCCAAGTCTCTTCCATCCTTGTTCTGTGCACCGAACAAACCCTGCGACGCTGCTGAAGAAATCCTAAGGGTAGTTTCCTATATGTGCGTGGCTGCATCAATTGTGTGAATCGGGTCCTTAACTCCCCTCGTGATTTCCTTCCCCCCAGAGTGGACGTTGCGGCAGCAGGGCAACAATTTCGGGTAAGATAATCCTATTCCATATCACCATCTGTTCAGTTATGATGTTCTGTTTGTTTGTGTGTCTTGACGGCCTCTACCGGTAAGGCTGCTAGGGTGGCTAGTGGGTACCTTGCCTAGGGCAGGTACCTGCTACCTGCCCTAGCATGCTACCCCTAGTGGGGAAGGGGAGGGTCACACACACACACACACACACACACACACACACACACACACACACACACACACACACACACACACACACACACACACACACACACACATACATACTGAATGATTATGGTTTGGGATTATCTGCCAAGGCCCCTATGCTTGCCCCTAGTATGAAGAAAAAATCCCCTTCTTACTTACAAAACTCCCTTTGAAGGGCTTGGTTGGTCCCAAATATAAGAGAGGGTGTGGAAAGGTGGGATTATTTGGAGGAATGGAATAAGGAATAACAAAAGGAGTAAAAATAATAAAATGAAAGGGTTTTCAGAGAAACCGGGGGGTCGAGGGATGTAAATTGGTATGGGATTGGGTTCGCAGCCTTGGGCTTTGAGGCCGAGGGGGAACTGGGCTTGTGGTGCTCCCCCGGTTATGCATCTTCCCTCACAGTGTGGAAGGATCCCCTTTCATCCCCCTCGGAAGGTTTTGGAGGACCCCAATCCCTTCCGACGTTGTGAAACCGTAGTCCGGCGGTTTTTGCGGCATCCGCAGTTTGATATAAGCGACTTCGATGCCTGCGCTCTTCCTCTTTGCAGTGGTCTTCGTCCGGCCTTCAGAGGGGGATCTCGTGCCCATTCCTTCTGCGCACATATTGTGTGCTTCAGGGTTGGCATGTGATCCCTCCTGGTATGCGTTCGGGGGGCTCCTCGGATTCGCGTTACGATTGGGAAGCTTGGTTGAGGCGCTGTGAGTCTGCCATCGCTACGTGCCCCTTCCACCCATTTGGCGGGCGGATTATGATCCTGTTTGTCGAAGAGTGGCGCTTGCTCCGTCGTGTTGGCGGCTCGGTTTCTTATGCGATCTTCTTTTGGAGTGGCAGCGCTGTGGTAGGGGACTCGGATCGCTCATCGGGATTCGCTTTGCGAAAGGGGTGATGTGGTGAAGTGCGGAGAATTAACCATCGCTACCTGCTCTTGCCACCGCCGTGTGGCTGACGTGGCATATTCTGATTGTTGAGAGGTGGTGCTCACCCTTTCGTATGGTAGCTCGGTTCGTGTGCGTTCTTTGCGTGGAATGGTGGCGCTGATCTGGAGTGGGCCCGGAGTACTCCTCGGATTCGCGCCATGGATGGGTGTGCTTAAGGGAGGGATGCTTGTTTCACCATTGTGGTATGCATACGTGTGTGTTACCTATTGGTCATCTCCTTGTGACTGACGTGGAGCGTTCGGATTATTAAGGAGTTGCGCGTGCTCCATCATCTCTGTAGCCCGGGTTTTTGCATGATCTTCTCACGTTGCGGTGGCGCCTCGTTAGGGGATCCCCCACTCCTCTCACACTCACGACATGGGCATTGGTCACTGTCATCCCTAATTAATTTTTTTCTCGGCTCCCCTGCACTTCAGCAGAGCATGGCGCCTCGCGCAGTAACGCATCCTGTGTTCCATTGTCCCACCTCCCACCCCCTGCCCCCCTTCCATGTGCCCTACCCCATGTCTTTTCCCACCTCTCTCCAAATCTCTTTCTCTGTGGAATCCGGGTCATGCCCTTCGAGATTCCTGTCCCTTTCAGTACGCTATGAGGGAGGCTTAGTTCTCTGAAGATCCGGCATGGTGGAAGTCGGTGAAAAGTACTTTAGGACGTGTTCCACCGCCCTCCTGTCATGCGTTGGCACATTGGGGCCATTCGACTGATTGGGATTTCTATCTCTATTCCTATTCTATCCCCTTACACCGTGTTTTTTTCTCCCCGCTTGTTTATGGTTGCCTGCTAACGTGGCTTGCTCCTCCCGACACGTTGTTTGTGCGTTGTATTGTTGTGATCGGTTGTGGATTGTTCCTTGCGGTGTTGTGATGGCTTCCTTTGTAGGCTTTATTGTATGCATCGTCGTTGAAGTTTTAGAAGCTTTGATTGCTGAGAGTATGTGGAGATGGAGCTGTTGGCGGCTGCCCACGTTGCCCTCATCTTTTTGATTGCGTTCATGGCGTACTTGGCCTTCTTGTCATTTTTGGAAGTGCAAATCATTCGTTCGGCTCAACTCGGCGGTGGATGTCGTAACTCGTCTTC